CATCTAGAGACAATTTAGAGTTATTAATGAACCTAACAGTCATGTTTCTGGTCTGTAGGAAGAAGCTGGAGTAACCGGAGAAAACCCACACATGCATGGAGAGAACATGCAAACTCTGCCCAAAGGTCCATGGGCTGGGATTCGAACCCAAACCTTCTTGCTGAGAGGCATCAGCTCTACCAGCTGAGCCACCGTGCCGTCCTTATTTCCCAGAACCAATCAGGTATGTATATGCTACAGGGCTGCACAGTGTTAAACAGAACAGTGTGGTTGTGATGTTGTCAGGAAATATTACGACAATGGCAGAAACACACATTTTCAGCAGCTACACAACACAACATAGTTGCTTTAACATCTTGGATGCAGTTATATTAACTGGTTGTGAGCATGTTGGGCAGTGACATGGTTTTCATGTATTTATATGTTTTATTGAGCACCTTGTTGACCCCTGTGTGTCGCTGGTCTGGTGTTTTTCTTGGAACGAAGCTCACTATAATCAAATTTAACTGTAGTTACAAATAAAGTTGATGGATTTTGATTAAGCGTTCAGAGTGAACAACTATATTACTATCAGGAAAATACCTGGTATTTGGAATAAAAGCTCTACACATGACTGCATCCAATCAGCTACTGTTGCCATGTTTTACTGTGCACACTGATGTGAAGACACATTTATCTGCTTCAGTTTCCACTGCTGACAAACAAAATGTGTGTTTTTGTTTGGAGGGCTGCATCCTGATGGGTCAATGGTTTAGTTAAAAATAAAAAGTACAAACGGTCCCACAACTGTGAGAGTGTAAATGTGTCACAGCTTGTGTGTGTTTGTGTCAGGACAACATGAGTGATCCAGTGTAAAATTAGAGCAGAGGAAGTTTGTTCCTTTCAAAAGACACGACAGTGTTTCTGCATGTTCTAAACCTCTGTAAGTTTCACACTTCTGACTGCTGGACTCACTTCAAACCCATGGTTGACCCAGTCATCTGATCCTTGCAACCTTTGGAGATGAAGAACAATCAGCTGTTGTGTATTTGACCCTGGAGCTCAGAAACATCAGCCTCAGGAGGACAGTTCAGTGACAGATACAACCTTCAGTTTGTACCACAGCTCTTCACATCAGTTAACTAACTTAAAGATAATTATAGCCTTGGTGTTAAAAACAAAGAAAAAACCTGAAACATTACATTTGAAACGTTACCTTCCAGTACATCTGAACATCTCATTACCATTGGAAATTTAAATTAGATTGTCTCAGTTTGTGGTAAACCCTTCAGTTGGCTCAACCCATGAAAAACATAAAACCACTGAGAAATTCAGGATAGTTCATATTCAGTGGTGGGCACAGTTCCCCTAAAGCACTAAAGCACTAATAAGGGAACTAATTTTCTGATTAGTGCTTTAGGGCTTTTGCTAATTTCTTAATCCATTAGTGGATTAGCACTTGCTACATTTATGGGTTAAATTTATAAGCACTGATTGAGTTCTTTAAATGATTGATCAACATTATTGTCGACAGCTGAGGGTGGAAACTGTCGGACGTGTCTCACTTCTCCACATCTGTGCTTTCCAAACATTTTTACTTCCGACCCACAAAATAACAACTGCAGACACTTACTTGTTTGAAAAATTTGCTGATAACTCTGTTAACATGGGAATAATAACTATAAACAAACCTAGTAACTATGATACTGATTTTTATTCATTTGTTATTATTTCAAAAAAATTTCAACAATCATTATGATAATATTCCACTAGCATTTTTTTTACATCTAAATTGATGTCTGGAAATCATTTGGGGACCCTCTCTTAATGTGTTGTGACCCACAAAGAGGTCCTGACCCCAACTTTGGAACCACTACACAAGATGAAATATTAATAATATTCTGCACACAGAAAATGTTGCCTCATGTTGACTCTGAGGAATGGTTCAGTTGGGTTTTTACAGCTTTACAATCAGCTTTTGCTAATTTTTTAAGTGAGTTAGTGCTTTAGAGTTAGGGGACCTAAATATTAAAGTTAGTGCTTTAGAGTTAGGGGACCTAAATATTAAAGTTAGTGCTTTAGAGTTAGGGGACCTAAATATTAAAGTTAGTGCTTTAGGGTTAGTCCATTAGTGCTGCCCACCACTGTTAGTACCTCATTTATTTCTGCACCAAATATTCAAAATAATCTATTACTTTGACTATAAAAAGGAGTTAACATGGTAATTTATTATTGAATATTAGTATTATTTAACCATGTAAATGATAAGTTGTATCAGTAAAACACATGAACAGCTGGGACAGAATCACTTCTATTGTCTGTGGTTGCTTTGTGCTAACCACCAGGCACGTCAAACAGCAATAATGGTGGAACAGAAAGATGGTCATGTCAAAGAGGCAAACACCCCCCCCCCCCAAAAAAAAAAAAAAAAAAAAAAAAAAAAAAAACAAGACTTTAACTTTCAAAAGTTGGCTACATTTTACCAAAAACAAACCAAAGAAAGTAAAATCCAGTCATTGTACGGCAGCAGCAAACATGATCAAAACTGTAAGAGCCATTGTGCTAAAGTCAACTGTCAATCATTTCAGTCAGTCTACCTGTCAATCACTTCAGTCGGTCTGCCTGTCAATCATTTCAGTCAGTCTACCTGTCAATCATTTCAGTCGGTCTACCTGTCAATCACTTCAGTCGGTCTGCCTGTCAATCATTTCAGTCAGTCTACCTGT